GCTGATTTTTATTTGTTGTGTCATGTTGGTGACACATCATTCCTTCGAGCCTGTTTTTTCACTAATTATTTTAGGTAGCTGAACTAAATCTCAGATCCCTTTGACCTCTGAAATTTTATATTCTGTGATCCTCACGTGTTTACAGAGATACACTCTAACTTAGATAATAGCATTATAAAATCTGTAGGAAATATTCCCCACTGTGAACTTCTCTATTTTAAGCCCTTTTACTGTGTTAAAGAAAGGAAAACATCTTTTTCGATTGTTTACTTTTTTTTTCTTTCACTGCATTTTAACAGTACATTTACAGCTTTTAAACTGAGGAAGCTGGAGTCCCCTGAATGACTAAGGAAGAGAAAACTATTAAAAGCCCAAAAAGTGTAAAATATGACAAATGGTTTTTAAAAAGTATGAAAAGGTATAATAAACAAATGCCAGTGGAGAATACTTCCTAATTCATTTTGTTAAGCCAAGTGTAACTAGCAAAACCAGGCAAGGTAACACAAGACACCTGCAGACCAATACTGTGTATGGACATGGCTCAGGGTGGCCAAAACTACTGGGAAAAGGAAGAGTGAATAGGAGAGCTCACACATCCTGATTTACCTTCCACAAAGCTAAGGATGTCAACATGGTGCTTCACTGGCTTCTGGCTCAATAGAACAGACTTGAGAGTCCAGACATAAACCTTTACGTTTACAGTCACTTGGTTTTCTACATGGGAATTAAGGCAGTTCAGTGGGACAATAATAGTTTTTCCACTGGGACAAGTGGATATCTACACGCAAGAGAATGAAGTTGAATCTCTACTTCATATCGTATACAAAGATGAACCCAAAATGGATCAAAGATCTGCGCGTAATAGCTAACACTGTAAAACTCTTAAAAAAAAAAAAAGGAACAAATCTTTGTTACTTTGGATTAGGCAGTAATTTGTTAGGTATGACACCAAAAGCACAAGCAACAAAATAAAAAATCAACCAAAAGTTAAAGAAATTGTACTTCAAAAATCACCATCAACTAAGGGAAAAGACAGCCCACACAATGGGAGAGCATATTTGCAAAATATGTACCTGATAAGAACTTCCATGTAGAATGTATAAACAACTCTTACAATTCAGTAATGAAGACAAGTAACCCAATTATAGAATGGGCAGAGGTCTGAATGGCTATGTCTTTAAAGAAGACGTACAGGTGTCCAACAGCACATGACAAGATGCTCAGTATCGTTAGTCACTGGGGAAACGCAGGTCAAAACCGGGATGAGACAGCATTTCACACCCGCGAGGGCAGCTGTAATTAAAAAGATGGACAGTAATATACCCCTCAGACTTTGCTGATAGGAAGGTAAAATGGTGCCGTTGCTTTGGAAAACTGGCAGTTTCTCAGAACATTAAACAGAGTTACTGTGTGGCAGAATCCATTCAAAGGTCCACACCCAAGAGAATTTAAAATAAATGTAGATGCAAAAATTGTGCGCAAATGTTCATCATTCATAACAACCAAAATGTGGAAATGACACAAATGCCCATCAACTGATGAACGGAAAGAAACTGTGGCATATCCATACAGTGGAATATTATTTAGCTATAAAAAGACAGGAGTTCTGACTTATGGTACAATATGGATAAACCTTGAAAACATTGTTCTATTTAAAAAAAAAAGGACACACAAAATGCCACATATCATATGATTCTGTTTATATGAAACAGAACATAAATTCATAGAGACAGAAAGTAGGTTGGTAGTTACCAGAGGCTGAGGGACAGGGCAGTGGGGAGAGACAGCGCAAGGGTTGGTTTTGGTTGGGGGGTGGTGATGAAAATGTTCTGGAATTAGTGGTGATGGTTGCACAATTTTGTGAATATATTAAAAACCACTGAATCTTAAAAGGGGAAAAAATTGAAAGTCCTATCATATTCCTTACTGAAAAATTTACAATGTCAACATGCCACAGGAAAAGGGATCTTTATTGTTTGTAACTATCTTTTCAAAATCAAGATTTGAAAAGTTGCTTCCTCTTC